AGCCCCTTGGTCTTTAAGATGCTGATTTTGTAGCATAAGTACAAGAACTAATGGAATTACAACAATTATAACAGGATACAAAATGTGTGTGCAGGGCCACTGAGTGCCCTGAACATCTTTTTTGCTGTAATGAGATTTGAGAAGATACATCCTCAGTGACTGACAAATGAAGCTCAGCGTAAGTTCAACCAGAAAGACCGTCTTTACTCTTCATTTACTATTCCCATGTAACTACTCTCTCTCCTCTCAATAAGTGATCGGGGGCGTCACTCTCCAGCTTAACCAATCACTTCGCTCTATTCCCAAGAGCCTATCATAGCGCTCAGCCAAACCTTTTAAGTCTGCTCTCCCCCTCTGACAGCTGTCATTTCAGGTGGCTCTACGCAACCCTCCTCAACCCCCCTTTCACCTCCTGTGCCTCTGAATCCAGGGTCAAGCTAAGCCCCTCCCCTTCAGACCGACCCCAACTATCCATTCACCACCACCAGGGTCAAGCTAAGCCCCTCCCCTTCAGACCGACAAGCTAAGCCCCTCCCCTTCAGACCGACCCCAACTATCCATTCTCCACGACCAGGGTCAAGCTAAGCCCCTCCCCTTCAGACCGACCCCAACTATCCATTCACCACCACCAGGGTCAAGCTAAGCCCCTCCCCTTCAGACCGACCACAACTATCCATTCACCACCACCAGGGTCAAGCTAAGCCCCTCCCCTTCAGACCGACCACAACTATCCATTCACCACCACCAGGGTCAAGCTAAGCCCCTCCCCTTCAGACCGACCCCAACTATCCATTCACCACCACCAGGGTCAAGCTAAGCCACTCCCCTTCAAACCGACCCCAACTATCCATTCTCCACCACCAGGGTCTAGACCCCGGGGGGTTTCATCGGATCGGTTCTCCCCTCCCGAATGATACTTCCTGCACAACGGGGCCTAATCGCCAAAATCACCATTACATTAATTTGTGTATCTCTGCAATAAATATGTATTCTTACATCAAAACCGTCTCTCCTGATTGAACAGGTCTAATCTGCTTTATGTGCACAACCAGGTGGATTTGATATGCCACCTTTACTCTGGAGTCTTCTTGCCAAGTCAGAAAAGATATATGTAATTTATTCATTACCATCAAAGATAAAGATAGTATGTATCATAATTCAATCACGCTCTCTCACCTCTCATTGTTGGATACAAGGAGATTCTTCTCATATAGGAAGAGAGATAATCCTCTGTCGGTGTTTGCGATGCGAGCCAGAACATCAGCGATCAGAGGCAGTGTTGCTGCCGGAGATTTTAATTTCACCTGCAAACCGTAGAGAATAAACAGGCAAAATGACACAACTGCTTCAGAAAGTCAAATCCCAGATGAATAGGTGTTGTAAATTAAAATACCATAATCTCTGGAACAGATGGAAGTAAGGAAAAGCTATTATAAACGTATGAGCAATGCTTCCACAATTTCAAACTATTTTTCAGAGAATGATGGATGATAATTATCTGTCCAGCTGTGAAAAGTGAACAGCTGACATGAAACACTTTAGGACTCAGATGTGCTGATGAATCAAGGTTTGGAGGAATGGTTGAGGTTAGACCGTGCCTTTATAATCAATATTAGGATTCATGTTAGGGAAATATCTTGAAGGTAAATGTTGGAAAATGGACGGTAGAGTATGATATCAGGCATTTATCAGACTGAAAAAGCCATGTTCTAATATGACTTCTGACTTTTTTACCCTGGAAGTAAAACTCTTTGAAATATAATATACATTAATACAAAGCTACAAACCAACATGTTTGTGACATAAAAGGATCCACGGCTATATAGGCTTTGTCATTAAAAAATACATTTAAATAATTCTCAAATAAACAAACAGTTTTCAGTTTTACAACCTCGGCATTCAAACTCCAATTTTGAAAAAGGGTATACGTATGTATCTATACAGTCCAAGAATCGTAGTTGTAGTTTCTACAACTTATCTGGTTTCTATTCTTCTCACAACAGTACGTACTGTATATATTTAAAAGGTCACCTATTATGCAAAATTCACTTTTTCTCGTCTTCTCTACATCAACATGTGTCCCCTCTTCTTCATGTCTCTTCTACATCAACATGTGTCCCCTCTTCTTCCATGTCTCTTCTACATCAACATGTGTCCCCTCTTCTCCATGTCTCTTCTACATCAACATGTGTCCCCTCTTCTCCATGTCTCTTCTACATCAACATGTGTCCCCTCTGTGGAAAGAGACTCTGAAAGTTTCAGGAACAAAGATTCTCTCTCTTTTTGTCCTGACCCATTTCTATAAAAACCTGTCTGAAAATGAGCTGATCAGATTTTGGCCACTTTATGATGTCATAACGATGTGTTGTCTTGTGTAACNGGGAGGAGGGGGCGGGAGTGGGTGGAAGGGGGTGGGGGGAGGGACAGCCCTGGTCACTTGGAAGTAGGACGGGGGGGAGAGGGGGAACGCGAGGGGAGAGGGCCGGAGGCTGGGGTGACAGCTAGAAATTGAGGCCTGAGCGTCCCATTTTTGTGTAAATATATAATACAATACATAACACCCTGTCTACACATATATTAAATATATTTTGTACACAAAGATATGTCGACCCCCCAAATCTTCTCACAACACAAAAATAAAACAAAAAAAAGAGAGAAGACGACTGTCTCCCAGGGAGTTCAATAAGACATACAAGGATGGTTAGAAATTTGTGAGGGAAGTGAAAATTGGAAAGAAAATAGATACCAATTGGACCCTATGTGACGGAGACGAGTGGACAGAGGGCGGAGTAGACAGAGAGACGAGTGGACAGAGAGACGAGTGTACAGAGGGACGAGTGGACAGGGGACAGAGTGGACAGGGAGAGCGAGTGGAAGAGAGACGAGTGGACCAGAGGGACGAGTGGACAGAGGGACGAAGTGGACAGAGAGACGAGTGGACAGGGTGACGAGGTGGAACAGGAGAGCGAGTGGACAGAGAGACGAGTGGACAGAGGGGACGAGTGGACAGAGAGACCGAAAGTGGACAGAGGAGCCATGAGAGAGGAGTGGACAGAGAGACGAGTGACAGAGGGACCGAGTGGCCAGAGGAGGAGTGGACAGAGAGGCGAGGTGGACAGAGAGACGAGTGGACGAGGAGACGGCACGTCGCCACTTTCTATTTCTTCGGTTAGCGTCCTGGTTACGGCACTACGGCCCAAACTTGACCCACCGAGAACTTCGGCTCCGGTCTAGTTGCCCTGGTAGAAGTTGCTGTAGTCTGCATGCTTTGGAGGAACCCCATTGTCTGTCTGGTAATATTATGGAAAGACAGAGAGAACAGACAAGAGGAGACATGGACCTGACAGAGAGACATGGACAGAGAGAGAGTCCTAATTGCACCCTCCTAAAACTCTCGACAAATGCCTGCTTCCGGAGTCCCAGGCCCCCACCTGAACTGACGAACCGGTCTTGTCATTTGAAAAGGAGTATTTCGAGGCAGGTTTAAAGAGACGACCTACGGTTTGGCCCAGATTTTGCAACCGGTAGTGAGACTCCTTCCCAGTCCCCAGTCTCCAATAGACAGCGCGGTAGGGTGTGCATTCTGCGTTGTTGTCGTGATTCACTTTAGAGACTAACAGCACGAGTGACAGCCAACCTTACAGTCGACCCTACAGTTGACCCGACAGCCGACCTACAACCGACCTACAACCGACCTACAACCGCCCTTGACAGGCAACTGACAGTCGACCGGGACAGCCGACCTACAACCGGACTTTACAACCTACCAACAATCTACTTACACCGACGTGACAAGACGGCTCTGCAAACCGTTTCACGTAACCGACCTACAGCTAAGCCTACACGACCTAAAACCGACCTACAGTCGACCTAAACCACGACTTACAGCCGACCGTAAGAACGACTACAACGACCTACAACCAACTTACCGCCCGGACCCTTAGAAACGACTGACAGCGCCTATAACGACCTACAACCGACTTACAAACCCGACCTCCTACAGCCCTACAACTGGCCTACAATCAACCTACAGTCGAACTACAACCGACTAACAATCGACCTGGAGCCTACAAGTCGAACTACACCGGACCGTACAACCGACTGACACCGACCTACAACCGAACTGACCAACGACCCACGACTAACACCAGACTACAAACGACTAACAGCCGACCGACAGCCCGACTGACAGCGGCCGACAGCCGGCATGACAGCCGCCGGCCGACAGCCAGACCCCGACCAGCCGACCGACAGCCGACCGACAGCCGCGATGAGTCAGGGAGATATACAGCAGTCCAAGCTGGAGGCCCTGCCAAACTCACCTGAAGCAACTTGGACTACGCAAAAGGACGGGGTAGCCTCCGGCCTCCACTATCGCGAGGGATTATGCTTTCTGTTTTAGCAGCACTCCGAGACTCGCTAACTCTGTCAAACGTACTGAGTAAATCGGCGTAGCTGCTCTCCAGTTGGTTGCGTACTGTAGGAGTGGAAGTACCCGTTGAAAGTCGCTGGTTAGACGTCTACGACTGCGGCACTCTCACATGTCTGTCTGTCATTATGGTCTGTCCCCAATTGTCGTTGTCCATGTGTGCTACTTGTCAATGTCTGTCTGTATTGGGGTCACTCTGTCTGTCCTGTTCAATGTCTTTTTGTCAATGTCTGTCTGTCGAATAGATCTGTCTGTCCAATCTGCTTCTAAAACTTGGGGTCCACTCTTCCTGTCTGTTCACTCTTGCGCTGTCGATTTGACTAGAGAGAGAGAACACAAAGGACAGTCGTTGAGGTGCCGCTAGTAGCGACGAGTCAAAGATAGAGTTTGAGGAGAGTCTTGAGTTCTTCTAGGTACTCAGTAGACTCAATATATCTCTATGTGTGAAATATAACGCAATTTTGTGTCACACCCCATAGACCACCACACACATATGACTATACAGTATATTACTTAACATCAACATATGTTGAGACATATATACTTACACACACACATATTAGGAAAAGTATTACTTACTCAACATCTTAGTAGAAACCGAGACCCCATTGGAAACTGAAAGGTTAAACAGGAGACTAGATTACTTTCTCTTTATGATTGAAGACCAATCCAGCGCTCTGATTGGTGGAGGTGAAACTGACCTGTGCCTGGCATTGGTGGAGGAGGTGGGGCAAGCATCCCCGTAGCTCCGCCCATCCCTGGAGCCATGCTGTGATACGCTACGGTCTCTGGACTGGGAAGATCAATCATTGGTTGGTTATGAGCGATAAACTATATAAATCACATTCAAAGAAAGTAGCTCACAGGACCGCTCAGCTAAAGGCGGCTCATTTAGACTCTTGTTATCAACCTCCATTTCTAAATCCACCAGTAGAACAAAACAACTCTTCAGCTCGTGTTAACCACAGACCTTATTTCAGGAGAACATCCAGAAATAGATTCAGAGAACCATTGACCTCCAGGTAGCCTCTCACCTTGGGGACAGGTTAGGACAGGGTGGAGGTGAGGGGGAGGCAGAGTCCCCCACCCCCCCGTCTCCCTCTCCTCTCGGGGGCTGTGGAGCTCCTGGTCCTCCGGCCTGCTGAGCCTCCTGAGCCTGGCGCTCCAAACGACTCTGTCTCCGGATCGTCTGGTCCTTCTCCCGCACGATCCGCCGCAGCGTGTGCACCTGAGAGTTACTGCTGGCGTACACGTCCTGTTCACAGACAGTTAACGGATTAACAGGCAGCATGTTAATGGTTAACAGATAGTTAACGGTTAACAGACAGCATGTTCACGGTTAACAGCATGTTAACGGGTTAACAAACAGCATGTTAACAGTTAGCAGATAGTTAACGGTTAACAGACAGTTAACGGTTAACAGACAGCATGTTAATGGTTAACAGACAATTAACAGGTTAACAGACAGCGTGTTAACGGTTAACAGACAGTTAACGGTTAACATACAGCATGTTAACGGCTAACAGATAGTTAACGGTTAACAGCAAGTTAACGGTTAACAGCATGTTAACGGGTTAACTAACAGCATGTTAACGGGTTAACAGACAGCATGTTAACGGTTAACGGCATGTTAACAAACAGCATGTTAACGGTTAACAGACAGCATGTTAACGGGTTAACAGACAGCATGTTAACGGTTAACAGATAGTTAACGGTTAACAGACAGCATGTTAACGGTTAACAGACAGCTAACGGTTAACAGACAGCATGTTAACAGTTAACAGACAGCATGTTAACGGTTAACAGACAGCATGTTAACGGGTTAACAAACAGCATGTTAACAGTTAGCAGATAGTTAACGATTAACAGACAGTTCGCAGACGATGGCGGGGCAAGGTATGAGCAGGAGCGACGATGCAGGTGTACGACAACATTGACGCAAATGCAGAGTTGTGACGACAGGCACAGATGGGCGGGCCAATTTGTATGGACAAGTCATATGGTTCCGTGGGCAATTGTTCAGCGACGATGGGCGATTGGACACGACGAATGGGCGGCAGTGATAGGACGACGAGGGGCAATGTTATCGACATAGCATATGCATATACAGAGGAAGTTGCGATGAGAGCGGAGCAATCGTGGGGCAAGTGGACGGCGGAAAACATTGGACGAGATCAGATCGGGTTGGTTGGCTGGAACTGTACGAGGCACGACAATAGGCCGGCAATTGTCAGGACGG